CTAAAACTTTGACCATTCGTTCTACTCTCTGCTTTTTTAAAGAATTCCCAAAAAATCCTTTATTTTATGATTGAGAAGCAACAAATTCAACATCCCCAAATGAGCAACTTTTCAACTTGTCCTCGAAATCAAAACTCCCACACTGGTTTGTTCTACTTGAGTGATGGAGGTGTCGGCAGATGACTTAACTGAGATCATGTGTCCAGCACAAACCATTCACTATGAGGCTGCGATTGTTCTCTTCTCTCCCTAGGGTTGACTAGGAAGCAAACTGAAGGTTTTTTGGGTTTCAGACATAAATTCATTGAACTGCTTTATCCTATCTCTCCATGGCATACACCATTATAGCCATCACTGTTATTATCTCGAACCTTAATCTCCGCAAATTAAAACTCGTAATAGAAGGTGAAAGGCTTTCTAGACTACTTTTCAGAAACTTCCAACTCTTCAATTCGCCAAGATTCCGCATGTTGTTACAGGAAAACCGAAATACTTTATTCCTCATTTTCCGAGAGGCTGAGTTTGGTTACCCCAAAATAAACTTCACATTCCACCTTATAAATTCGCCCCGGTTAAGTTTAATCTTTAGTGCTGTTTACAGCGAATTCTTTTTGAAGGAAAGAATCATTAGAAAAAGCGCCCCGTTTATCTGCTAGTATTCGCTTCTTTTTGAAATTGCGTGACAAAGCTTATGTCTGCCCAAGCACCAAAACGAGTCACATTTGTATACTTTGAGCAGCTTCTTGTCTGTAATTTGGTTCAACTGCAAAACTGGAGCGTGGTTGCTCTGACTTGTGCTGAGTCGCCAGATGGTTAGACTTCTGACGATCCTGGCGCTTGCTTCGTATTCTGCAGTGTCAAACAGTTTAACAGTTGTCCAGGCAAGAGCATTCGACAATACATTCATTTCGAGGTCTCTTTATCATCATCGTCCCTGAGGCTTCAAGTCTGGACCATGATAAGGTGCCTTACTAGTTAGCGAACATCACACAAAACATAAATATTTACTCCAGAGAAGTAGATATGTCTAAGAATTGTTTTAAAAAAGTCACCAGTTCACTAAATTACTTTAGAAGTTTCGCGAGACTGCATCACAACACGCAAAAATCAAACGCACCTTCAGCTATTCCTTTTTCGAAAAGCTTCTGTGCAGTGTTCACATCTTTTGCAAGAAAAAATTCAAGCCAAGCTCGAACGGTGATATACTGAAAGAATATACATTTATTTTGAAACATTCAAAAACACATGAGAAATACTACCCTGCAGGGAAATTAATCATGGCCTAGGATTTGAATCGGCCAGGATCTTATTGTGATTTTCTTGGAGACTCGGGCTCAAAAAACAAAGTTTATAAATTGAAAAAAGTTCATCCAGTGTCATTATCGACAACGTTGACTCGAAAGAAACTGACGGTTGCGTCTATTTGGCCATGAGATAATATTCAGACGAAGATTGTGCACAGAAGGACATCCGTTGATGTGCATTTTATAGCAAAATGAAAACCGGAAAGACATTGCGCATCTCTTACCAAAGGGCAACGAAGGAACGTGAAAATGAAAAAAACAAACGCTAACAATAATGAAGAAAAATAATGAACGAACGGTGCCTGTGATGGAAAAAACAATGGAACGAAAGATGTCTGGAGTGTTCACCAACGCCATTAACTGGCATTTTTCGATTTTCTATATTCCATCCAGTCAGTCAGTTCTAGCCGCTTCCCTTTTTCTATTTTTTGAAACCACAACTTCTTTTCTTATGCAAATTTATCTTATTTTATTTCGTACTGCCCTTTATCAACACTAGCCGCACTGATCAGACCCACTTATGATGCCGAATAGGGACGTATCTATTGATATTTAGTTAGGAGCAAGGTACTGCTGCACAAAACTACGACGGGTCAGCTTACTTGTACATTGCTGGATTCGACTGGTATGCATTTTTCGGCCAGTGAACGAGCTTTATCAGTGCTGTTCAGCAGCATATAAGCGAGAACTGCGTTATAGCCAGTTTCACCACTAGCAGACCCCCAGGCTGTGTTTATGGCTCGATCCAAATCACGGATTGCTTCGCGATCTGAAATGTGATTTTGAACACGTGAGTGATGGAAAATGGCATTCGATCAGCTGAAGTTCATAACATTATTGTACAACTATACAGCTGAAAACTTTTCCAGTTGCAATGACCAGTGATGTATGGCCATCCTGCTGGCGAATTTGACGTCCTCTTTGCCTATTGTAAAAGCTACGATTTCAATGATTTTTCCAAAAAGAAGCATTTGGCGAGTCGTTTCCAGTGAAATTAGTGTAAGTTGTTAATCACCGCCTCATCTCAATCGCTACAACTCTTAGACCTCCATGAAGTAATTTACAATCTTAAACCACTACAAAAATGAGTAATTGAGAAGTTAAAAAAAGAGCTGAATGCAAAAAAATGGAAAAAGATTTCCTTTTTGGGCTTGTTATGTTAAATAACAGTTACAGGGAGCTTCACACCAGGAAATAAACGTAATCCTTTTGATTCTAGTTATTTTAATATAAAAAAAGTACCAGGGGCATATTGGGAGAATCATGTTGTGAACTGCAAGTAATCAGTATATTCCAAATTAGTATTGGAAGACACTTTAAAAAATCGGCTAGTGGCAATAAAATTTATGATTTAAAAATCATAATTTCAGATATTGCCTTAATATTCTGTTCACACACTTTTTTAAAATAATTTTATGGCTTATATATGTATCATGATTCACATCTCTTTCATTGATTTAAAAGGAATTTATCAAACCGGGGTTTTGCGCCAAAGAATGTGCTGCTCGAAGAACCACCAAAGCAGCGAAGC